AATTCTAGAGATTTTTTAGGATTTTAGAATTAAGTTAGTAATTTTAGAAATATTTTAGGATTTTAGATTTAAGTTAGTAATTTTAAAATTGTTATTAGGGATTAGTTTAAAATTAATTAGAATACATTTTGTATAGAATTTATTTAGAATTTAGAACTAGAATATAGATTAGAATTTTAATTAAAATTTTATTTAGTCTTTTCATATATTAATTTTTATTAGAAATTATAATATTTTTAGAATAGAATTTTATTTTAGATTCAACAATTAGAACTTAGTTTCTTTTAGTTTAGAAATAGTTTTTAGAAATTAGAATAGAATTAGTTTAGAAAATAGACTTAATTAGAATTTTGATTTTTATTAGATTAAATTAGAGTTAGTTTTAGAAATTGTTTTTAGAAATTAGAATTTAAAGTTTTAGTTTTAACTTTGTTATTAGAATTAGGAAATAGATTAATTTTTAAATTAGATTATAGAATTAGAATTTTATTTTATTTTAGATTAGAATTAGTTAGTTTTTAAATTAGATTATAGAATTAGATTTTTTTTATTAATTTAGAATATAGAATTTGTTATTAGAATTAATTAGTTTTTAGAATTAGGTTTTTAATTAATTAGGATAGATTAAAAATTAGATTAGAACTTTATCATTAGAGTTTAGTATGGAATTAAATAATTAGTTAATTAAGTTAATTAAAATTAGTATAGAAATAGAATTAGTTTAGAATTTAGATTAGTTTTAATTAGGATTTTAATTCATATTTTAATATCAATTAGGATTAGTTAGATTTAGAATATTAATTAATTATTAATTAGAATAGTTAATTATTAGAATAATATTAAACTAAGATTAGAATAGTTTTTTTCTCCTTAGAGTTAGATTTAATTGTTTTATTATTATCAGAATTAATTAAATAGTACAGAAAATTAAAGAAAAATTAAAAAAAAAGAAGCAACACGTGTATTGGTACCGAATTTTTGAAAGTTTTTAGTACACCGAAAATTTGCAAATTTCTGAAAGTTTTTGTAATTTATCAGAAATTTTGACAATTGTCGGTATTGGTACAGAATTTTTTAAAATTTCTAAAATTGAATTTTTTAAAATTTCTAAAATTTTATACCGGATTTTTTCAAATTACTTATATATATGCGTGAAATTTCAAAAATTCGAAAAAAGACATACCGAAAGTTTCAAAATTATTACGAGAAATTTCTTTTTTAAATGTTGAAAAAAGTGAAAATTTTAAAAGAATAATAAAATTTGATAGGTAAGTATTAATAAATATAATTTGAAAATATTTAAAGTTTAGGAGTATCATGTATAAAATAGGATGTCAAGTTAATTTCTCCAAATATAATGGGTACCCGCATATCCCTGACCCATTTCGGCATTATATATACCGACCCCTCAAACCTAAATTTTTCCAACCCCTAACACTGAGCCCTTTTTCTATCGCAAATTGCAGAGAGAGAAAGAGAGAGATCGAAAGAGAAAAATGGCACTAAGAGCAACCGTACTCCGCCATGTTCGCGTGCCGCTCCAAGCCGCTCCTAAATTCCAACAATGGAATGCTTCCATTCGCTCCATGTCTTCACCCGAAGAAGAAGATCGTATAAATAAAGAAGAGGTTATCGATAAAGTAGATCCTTCCAAGGTCTTTCTTCTCTCTTTTTTCCCTTCATTTTGTTTCGTTTTCAATCTTGATTCATGTAACATAGACAATACATATTATTGAGAAATTGGAATTCCCAAATGTTAGTACGTTGATTTGTCATATTGGGTTTCCCAACGTTTGTTAGAATGGTGCCACTAATATCAATTTAATTTTAAGTTGTCTGTAATTCTAATTTTTCAACCCTCCATCCAACTTTGTTAGTGCAAATAATAATAAATAATTTTGTTGTGCTTTATCAGGTGGCTTCAGATGTGGATTCTCAGAAGGATTTGGCTATGGACAAAATATACCTTTTGAGAGTTTTACGTGCAGTACAAGAAGCGTTCAAGCCAATGTTTTAAAATACGGGCCCCTTCCTGTGTGTGTGGATTTCTGGATTGGGTTGAATTTTTTATTGATTTTTTTTATATTTATATTTTTTTTAGCTTAATTAGAATATTGATTTTTTATTTTTCTTAAATTTTGGTGTTCTGTTTTATAATCTGATTTTATTAATGTTTATAAATATGTTAATTATTTATAACAAATAAATAATATTAAAATTAGAAAAATTAAATTTGGTCAAATTTTAATGTGAAAAATATTTTTTTTATGAGAATTTAAAATGACTTGACTTAAAATTTATTGTTTGAATAATATTTAAGAAATCTTAAATGATATCAAAAAGTAAAGAATTTAAAATTATTCATTCATTCTATATAACATATAATGTGGATTTTAAATTGTTTATTATTAGCTTTTTAAATTTTGCAAGATGGATTTCATATTTTATAACAATTTACAATAGTTAATAATTTTCAAATTTTTTAAAAGAATTATTTCAAAGTTTTAAAAATTACAAATTAGTCATTATTTTAATATTTTACATTGGTTCCAAAAGCTTTACAAATTATGAAAATGACCTCAAATATTTAATAATGAATCATTTGAGTTGTTTAGAATTTTGAGTTTCTTAAAAATTCTTAATTATCTTGTCCAAACGCACTCTTAATAAACCTTTAAAAACTATTAGAATGATAGTTTTATCAATTGAACTATGAATTTCTTTGATGTTTAATTTAGTCAAATAAAAATGAGTTATATATTGTATAATTATAACATTTCTCTCTAATGTATTCTCATTAAACTTAAATATTATTAATCATACAATATAATAATATAATTAATTTAAAAAGTTAGAAAATTAATTATACAATATAATAATACTATAAATTAACAAAAGTTTTTACAAAAATCATGTTATTAAAGAAAAATAAAATTATATTTTCACATTATTTCGAGTATGAACCTCATTAATTTTCATATTATTGTCATACCCTAAATTTGCCCACCCTTTTTCTACCTTTGACTTTTGTTTCGTTTTCGCCTGCTATGTCATCCTGCCAGTGTTGAGTTGAATTTATCAAGATTATATTTTGCATTTTATTGCTCTTTTTACTTCATATTTATTTAAGAGATAGTTTAATTGGGTTTTTAATATGACTTTTTTTAAAAATAGTTTAAATAGTTTTTTTTAATTATTTAGAACTTTTTAATAGAAATTTTATTTATTAGATTTTTTTAAATAGTTTAGAGTAGTTGTTTTAATAGAAAATAGTTTTTTTAATTAGTTTAGAAATAGAAGTTGTTTAGATTTAATTTAGTAGTTTTTAGAATTATTTTTCATTTTAAAATAGTTTTAGAATTATTTAATTTTAATTAGATTTTAGTTTTTATTTAGAAATTAGAATTAATTTTAGAGATATTTTAGGATTTTAGAATTAAGTTAGTAATTTTAGAGATTTTTTAGGATTTTAGAATTAAGTTAGTAATTCTAGAGATTTTTTAGGATTTTAGAATTAAGTTAGTAATTCTAGAGACTTTTTAGGATTTTAGAATTAAGTTAGTAATTTTAGAAATATTTTAGGATTTTAGATTTAAGTTAGTAATTTTAAAATTGTTATTAGGGATTAGTTTAAAATTAATTAGAATACATTTTGTATAGAATTTATTTAGAATTTAGAACTAGAATATAGATTAGAATTTTAATTAAAATTTTATTTAGTCTTTTCATATATTAATTTTTATTAGAAATTATAATATTTTTAGAATAGAATTTTATTTTAGATTCAACAATTAGAACTTAGTTTCTTTTAGTTTAGAAATAGTTTTTAGAAATTAGAATAGAATTAGTTTAGAAAATAGACTTAATTAGAATTTTGATTTTTATTAGATTAAATTAGAGTTAGTTTTAGAAATTGTTTTTAGAAATTAGAATTTAAAGTTTTAGTTTTAACTTTGTTATTAGAATTAGGAAATAGATTAATTTTTAAATTAGATTATAGAATTAGAATTTTATTTTATTTTAGATTAGAATTAGTTAGTTTTTAAATTAGATTATAGAATTAGATTTTTTTTATTAATTTAGAATATAGAATTTGTTATTAGAATTAATTAGTTTTTAGAATTAGGTTTTTAATTAATTAGGATAGATTAAAAATTAGATTAGAACTTTATCATTAGAGTTTAGTATGGAATTAAATAATTAGTTAATTAAGTTAATTAAAATTAGTATAGAAATAGAATTAGTTTAGAATTTAGATTAGTTTTAATTAGGATTTTAATTGATATTTTAATATCAATTAGGATTAGTTAGATTTAGAATATTAATTAATTATTAATTAGAATAGTTAATTATTAGAATAATATTAAACTAAGATTAGAATAGTTTTTTTCTCCTTAGAGTTAGATTTAATTGTTTTATTATTATCAGAATTAATTAAATAGTACAGAAAATTAAAGAAAAATTAAAAAAAAAGAAGCAACACGTGTATTGGTACCGAATTTCTGAAAGTTTTTAGTACACCGAAAATTTGCAAATTTCTGAAAGTTTTTGTAATTTATCAGAAATTTTGACAATTGTCGGTATTGGTACAGAATTTTTTAATATTTCTAAAATTTTATACCGGATTTTTTCAAATTACTTATATATATGCGTGAAATTTCAAAAATTCGAAAAAAGACATACCGAAAGTTTCAAAATTATTACGAGAAATTTCTTTTTTAAATGTTGAAAAAAGTGAAAATTTTAAAAGAATAATAAAATTTGATAGGTAAGTATTAATAAATATAATTTGAAAATATTTAAAGTTTAGGAGTATCATGTATAAAATAGGATGTCAAGTTAATTTCTCCAAATATAATGGGTACCCGCATATCCCTGGCCCATTTCGGCATTATATATACCGACCCCTCAAACCTAAATTTTTCAAACCCCTAACACTGAGCCCTTTTTCTATCGCAAATTGCAGAGAGAGAGAGAAAGAGAGAGATCGAAAGAGAAAAATGGCACTAAGAGCAACCGTACTCCGCCATGTTCGCGTCCGCCATGTTCGCGTGCCGCTCCAAGCCGCTCCTAAATTCCAACAATGGAATGCTTCCATTCGCTCCATGTCTTCACCCGAAGAAGAAGATCGTATAAATAAAGAAGAGGTTATCGATAAAGTAGATCCTTCCAAGGTCTTTCTTCTCTCTCTTTTTCCCTTCATTTTGTTTCGTTTTCAATCTTGATTCATGTAACATAGACAATACATATTATTGAGAAATTGGAATTCCCAAATGTTAGTACGTTGATTTGTCATATTGGGTTTCCCAACGTTTGTTAGAATGGTGCCACTAATATCAATTTAATTTTAAGTTGTCTGTAATTCTAATTTTTCAACCCTCCATCCAACTTTGTTAGTGCAAATAATAATAAATAATTTTGTTGTGCTTTATCAGGTGGCTTCAGATGTGGATTCTCAGAAGGATTTGGCTATGGACAAAATATACCTTTTGAGAGTTTTACGTGCAGTACAAGAAGCGTTCAAGCCAATGTTTTAAAATACGGGCCCCTTCCTGTGTGTGTGGATTTCTGGATTGGGTTGAATTTTTTATTGATTTTTTTTATATTTATATTTTTTTTAGCTTAATTAGAATATTGATTTTTTATTTTTCTTAAATTTTGGTGTTCTGTTTTATAATCTGATTTTATTAATGTTTATAAATATGTTAATTATTTATAACAAATAAATAATATTAAAATTAGAAAAATTAAATTTTGTCAAATTTTAATGTGAAAAATATTTTTTTTATGAGAATTTAAAATGACTTGACTTAAAATTTATTGTTTGAATAATATTTAAGAAATCTTAAATGATATCAAAAAGTAAAGAATTTAAAATTATTCATTCATTCTATATAACATATAATGTGGATTTTAAATTGTTTATTATTAGCTTTTTAAATTTTGCAAGATGGATTTCATATTTTATAACAATTTACAATAGTTAATAATTTTCAAATTTTTTAAAAGAATTATTTCAAAGTTTTAAAAATTACAAATTAGTCATTATTTTAATATTTTACATTGGTTCCAAAAGCTTTACAAATTATGAAAATGACCTCAAATATTTAATAATGACCTCAAATATTTAATAATGAATCATTTGAGTTGTTTAGAATTTTGAGTTTCTTAAAAATTCTTAATTATCTTGTCCAAACGCACTCTTAATAAACCTTTAAAAACTATTAGAATGATAGTTTTATCAATTGAACTATGAATTTCTTTGATGTTTAATTTAGTCAAATAGAAATGAGTTATATATTGTATAATTATAACATTTCTCTCTAATGTATTCTCATTAAACTTAAATATTATTAATCATACAATATAATAATATAATTAATTTAAAAAGTTAGAAAATTAATTATACAATATAATAATACTATAAATTAACAAAAGTTTTTACAAAAATCATGTTATTAAAGAAAAATAAAATTATATTTTCACATTATTTCGAGTATGAACCTCATTAATTTTCATATTATTGTCATACCCTAAATTTGCCCACCCTTTTTCTACCTTTGACTTTTGTTTCGTTTTCGTCTGCTATGTCATCCTGCGAGTGTTATCAGTTGAGTTGAATTTATCAAGATTATATTTTGCATTTTATTGCTCTTTTTACTTCATATTTATTTAAGAGATAGTTTAATTGGGTTTTTAATATGACTTTTTTTAAAAATAGTTTAAATAGTTTTTTTTAATTGTTTAGAACTTTTTAATAGAAATTTTATTTATTAGATTTTTTTAAATAGTTTAGAGTAGTTGTTTTAATAGAAAATAGTTTTTTTAATTAATTTAGAAATAGAAGTTGTTTAGATTTAATTTAGTAGTTTTTAGAATTATTTTTCATTTTAAAATAGTTTTAGAATTATTTAATTTTAATTAGATTTTAGTTTTTATTTAGAAATTAGAATTAATTTTAGAGATTTTTTAGGATTTTAGAATTAAGTTAGTAATTTTAGAGATTTTTTAGGATTTTAGAATTAAGTTAGTAATTCTAGAGATTTTTTAGGATTTTAGAATTAAGTTAGTAATTCTAGAGATTTTTTAGGATTTTAGAATTAAGTTAGTAATTTTAGAAATATTTTAGGATTTTAGATTTAAGTTAGTAATTTTAAAATTGTTATTAGGGATTAGTTTAAAATTAATTAGAATACATTTTGTATAGAATTTATTTAGAATTTAGAACTAGAATATAGATTAGAATTTTAATTAAAATTTTATTTAGTCTTTTCATATATTAATTTTTATTAGAAATTATAATATTTTTAGAATAGAATTTTATTTTAGATTCAACAATTAGAACTTAGTTTCTTTTAGTTTAGAAATAGTTTTTAGAAATTAGAATAGAATTAGTTTAGAAAATAGACTTAATTAGAATTTTGATTTTTATTAGATTAAATTAGAGTTAGTTTTAGAAATTGTTTTTAGAAATTAGAATTTAGAGTTTTAGTTTTAACTTTGTTATTAGAATTAGGAAATAGATTAATTTTTAAATTAGATTATAGAATTAGAATTTTATTTTATTTTAGATTAGAATTAGTTAGTTTTTAAATTAGATTATAGAATTAGATTTTTTTTATTAATTTAGAATATAGAATTTGTTATTAGAATTAATTAGTTTTTAGAATTAGGTTTTTAATTAATTAGGATAGATTAAAAATTAGATTAGAACTTTATCATTAGAGTTTAGTATGGAATTAAATAATTAGTTAATTAAGTTAATTAAAATTAGTATAGAAATAGAATTAGTTTAGAATTTAGATTAGTTTTAATTAGGATTTTAATTCATATTTTAATATCAATTAGGATTAGTTAGATTTAGAATATTAATTAATTATTAATTAGAATAGTTAATTATTAGAATAATATTAAACTAAGATTAGAATAGTTTTTTTCTCCTTAGAGTTAGATTTAATTGTTTTATTATTATCAGAATTAATTAAATAGTACAGAAAATTAAAGAAAAATTAAAAAAAAAAAAAGAAGCAACACGTGTATTGGTACCGAATTTCTGAAAGTTTTTAGTACACCGAAAATTTGCAAATTTCTGAAAGTTTTTGTAATTTATCAGAAATTTTGACAATTGTCGGTATTGGTACCGAATTTTTTAAAATTTCTAAAATTTTATACCGGATTTTTTCAAATTACTTATATATATGCGTGAAATTTCAAAAATTCGAAAAAAGACATACCGAAAGTTTCAAAATTATTACGAGAAATTTCGTTTTTAAATGTTGAAAAAAGTGAAAATTTTAAAAGAATAATAAAATTTGATAGGTAAGTATTAATAAATATAATTTGAAAATATTTAAAGTTTAGGAGTATCATGTATAAAATAGGATGTCAAGTTAATTTCTCCAAATATAATGGGTACCCGCATATCCCTGGCCCATTTCGGCATTATATATACCGACCCCTCAAACCTAAATTTTTCCAACCCCTAACACTGAGCCCTTTTTCTATCGCAAATTGCAGAGAGAGAAAGAGAGAGATCGAAAGAGAAAAATGGCACTAAGAGCAACCGTACTCCGCCATGTTCGCGTGCCGCTCCAAGCCGCTCCTAAATTCCAACAATGGAATGCTTCCATTCGCTCCATGTCTTCACCCGAAGAAGAAGATCGTATAAATAAAGAAGAGGTTATCGATAAAGTAGATCCTTCCAAGGTCTTTCTTCTCTCTTTTTTCCCTTCATTTTGTTTCGTTTTCAATCTTGATTCATGTAACATAGACAATACATATTATTGAGAAATTGGAATTCCCAAATGTTAGTACGTTGATTTGTCATATTGGGTTTCCCAACGTTTGTTAGAATGGTGCCACTAATATCAATTTAATTTTAAGTTGTCTGTAATTCTAATTTTTCAACCCTCCATCCAACTTTGTTAGTGCAAATAATAATAAATAATTTTGTTGTGCTTTATCAGGTGGCTTCAGATGTGGATTCTCAGAAGGATTTGGCTATGGACAAAATATACCTTTTGAGAGTTTTACGTGCAGTACAAGAAGCGTTCAAGCCAATGTTTTAAAATACGGGCCCCTTCCTGTGTGTGTGGATTTCTGGATTGGGTTGAATTTTTTATTGATTTTTTTTATATTTATATTTTTTTTAGCTTAATTAGAATATTGATTTTTTATTTTTCTTAAATTTTGGTGTTCTGTTTTATAATCTGATTTTATTAATGTTTATAAATATGTTAATTATTTATAACAAATAAATAATATTAAAATTAGAAAAATTAAATTTTGTCAAATTTTAATGTGAAAAATATTTTTTTTATGAGAATTTAAAATGACTTGACTTAAAATTTATTGTTTGAATAATATTTAAGAAATCTTAAATGATATCAAAAAGTAAAGAATTTAAAATTATTCATTCATTCTATATAACATATAATGTGGATTTTAAATTGTTTATTATTAGCTTTTTAAATTTTGCAAGATGGATTTCATATTTTATAACAATTTACAATAGTTAATAATTTTCAAATTTTTTAAAAGAATTATTTCAAAGTTTTAAAAATTACAAATTAGTCATTATTTTAATATTTTACATTGGTTCCAAAAGCTTTACAAATTATGAAAATGACCTCAAATATTTAATAATGAATCATTTGAGTTGTTTAGAATTTTGAGTTTCTTAAAAATTCTTAATTATCTTGTCCAAACGCACTCTTAATAAACCTTTAAAAACTATTAGAATGATAGTTTTATCAATTGAACTATGAATTTCTTTGATGTTTAATTTAGTCAAATAGAAATGAGTTATATATTGTATAATTATAACATTTCTCTCTAATGTATTCTCATTAAACTTAAATATTATTAATCATACAATATAATAATATAATTAATTTAAAAAGTTAGAAAATTAATTATACAATATAATAATACTATAAATTAACAAAAGTTTTTACAAAAATCATGTTATTAAAGAAAAATAAAATTATATTTTCACATTATTTCGAGTATGAACCTCATTAATTTTCATATTATTGTCATACCCTAAATTTGCCCACCCTTTTTCTACCTTTGACTTTTGTTTCGTTTTCGCCTGCTATGTCATCCTGCGAGTGTTATCAGTTGAGTTGAATTTATCAAGATTATATTTTGCATTTTATTGCTCTTTTTACTTCATATTTATTTAAGAGATAGTTTAATTGGGTTTTTAATATGACTTTTTTTAAAAATAGTTTAAATAGTTTTTTTTAATTGTTTAGAACTTTTTAATAGAAATTTTATTTATTAGATTTTTTTAAATAGTTTAGAGTAGTTGTTTTAATAGAAAATAGTTTTTTTAATTAATTTAGAAATAGAAGTTGTTTAGATTTAATTTAGTAGTTTTTAGAATTATTTTTCATTTTAAAATAGTTTTAGAATTATTTAATTTTAATTAGATTTTAGTTTTTATTTAGAAATTAGAATTAATTTTAGAGATTTTTTAGGATTTTAGAATTAAGTTAGTAATTTTAGAGATTTTTTAGGATTTTAGAATTAA